GTGAAATACAGGTCCGAACACCTTGTTTACATTCATGGAGTTTCTCTCCAGAATGAGTTCCTTCATGTCTTCTAAATAAAGAGGAGAAATGAATGGCTTTCCCACATATGTCCCATTGAAAATGTTTATCTCCACTGTGTGTTATCATGTGTCTTTGAACACTGGAGGGATAAGAAGAGGCTTCACCACATTGTTGACATTCATCGGGTTGCCCCCCAGTATGAGTTTCTTCATGTCTTTCAATGTCATTGGAACAACTGATGACTTTCCCACATACTGTACTTTCATAAGGTCCATCTCCAGTTTGTATTAACATTTGTGTGTGAACACTTTTGAGAGAAACCAGAGATTTCCTATATTGTTTCAATTCACATGGCTTCTCTTCATATTTCTCATGCTTGTAGTATTTGTGTCCAGAGTGAGATGTGATCTGCCTATGAAGGAATGAAGGACATATGAAGTCTTTTGCACACATAATGAACTCACATGGATTTAATCTATTAAAAATTTTCTTTCTTCAGTTAAGAATTGGAATCGATTTAAAGGTTTCTCCACACCATTTTGTGCCTGTGAAGTTTACCATATGACTTCTTTGAAGAAGAAGTGACCAGCACATAATCAATGCTTGATTCATTCACAATTTTCTATTTATTCATAGATCTTTACATTACTACCAACATCAGGTAAAGGCTAGGTTTTCTAACTTGTTCAACTTGCCTAAAAATAAAAAGATTGAAAGGAAAAAATCCTTTACATCACATATTCTCTATGGCTATTATCCAAATAGTGATATTCACATATGCAATTTCATAGTACTTTTTGCATGTCAAATCTTTGAAAAGCCTGAATATCTGTTACAGCTAAGAATATATTTCTAGTAAAAATCACTATAAGAATAAATACTTCTCAAATTATGCATACTTCGTTGGTTGGTTTACTTTAAAAATTAAATGACAGTTCTCAGACCCCCTCATGGACTCCTCTTGTGAGTACAGTTACCTTACATTGATCCCAGAGTTTTCAATCTGAACTTCAGTGATCTTGTCTTCCCATTTGTTTCCTAAAATGAGAACAGAACAATCTTTATGAGTATTTAGGAACTAGAAATGCTTTGCCAAATCCTAGGTGACATTTATGCTGCAATTATTCACCAATTGATTCCCTTTTCACCTTCTATATAAATGACCAAAATAAACATGAGTTCTCAATTTGATTAATTTTAGAAACATCATTATTACCTATAGAAGCCAGGTTTCTGAGGACTTCCAGCATCACATCTCTGTAAATATTCTTCTGGGAAGGATCCAGCAAAGCCCACTCCTCCTGGGTGAAGTTCACAGCCACATCCTCAAAGGTCACTGAGATCTAAAATATCCCACCAAATGTATAGTGGAGGCCAGGAGAGATTAAGAGCATGAGAAATCTATCCTCAACATGCATGATGTTCACATGATTCCCTGGCCTCTTGATTAAGTCCACGATTTGGTCCATCAAATATTTACTGCACTCAACTTCTTACAGCCATACCAACACTAGAAATTGGCTACTCAGAAGGCAAATATCTTGGGCTGAGGATGTGGCTCAAGCGGTAGTGTGCTCGCTTGGCATGCGTGTGGCCCGGGTTCGATCCTTAGCACCACATACAAAGATGTTGTGTCCGCCGAGAATTAAAAAATAAATATTAAAAAAATTCTCTCTCTCTCTCTCTCAAGAAAAAATTTTTTTTAAAAGAAGGAAAACATCATAGTGACTTATACCCTTTCTTTGTGAGTTCACAGGAAGTAACACAGGCTCCCAGATTACTCCTTACTTATTTATTGGTTCCACCTCTATTACATGTCCTAGAAACATCCTGTGTGGAACAGAGTTAATATAAGCAATTCTGATAGTGCTTACCTTTAGAAAAGAAAGGTGATGAGTAGGAAATTGCAGGAATCATGAAACTAAGCATTTGAGAGAGATTCTGACAACTACAATGGCTCCCTGTACCGACAAGGTTAATATACGCAACAGGGTATTTACTAATGTCTTGTTTCCTCTGAATGTCTATTGTTCCATACTTAAAGAAATGTCTAGAACCAGCCCCCACCCACAACCTCTGGGTATGGAGTCACTAAGGAGATTCCTTCACAGACAACATTTAGACAACCTTTCACACAGGTTGTCACAATGCATTAGCTGGAGATTGAGCTCATCCTGTGTGATTACACTGAGAACAACTAGAAGTTCGCAGGTGCTTTACTCCAGAACAAATGTAGTCAACTAGCATACTATTAAATGACCAAAACAAACATGAGTCTCTATCTGATTAATTTAATTTATTTATTAATAAAAACAACAATTTTATAATTTCCTCTGGTTATTGTCAAATCAGAATGGGGTAAGTGAAAGATGGCACATGTCTTAGAAATAACTCAATGACCCAAAAATAT